CCCCAAAACCCCAAAACCCCAAAACCCCAAAACCCCGTTGATAGTAAATGTTCAAATGATTTATTAAGTTTAAATGAATAATCAATTTCATTAATTTGTTTGAACTAAAGCACCTGTGTGGAAATAGCCACATGATACGAATTTTACTTTGTTTTATTGCAAGTTTTTTATTACTCTGGTTGGAATATCGAAATCTTTTTCACTATCTCCGAGTCCCAGTTATTCATAGAAATTGAATCCCCATACATACAGTTTTCCTTAATCAGTGATGCAAGCTGCATGTCTGCAACCAGCTGAGATTTAAAGAACTTTTTCGTTTATCAAGGTATGAATAATAGTTGGTTCACTCACATGATCCACTCCTTCACTTTAAGAATTATCAGGGTTAAGCCCTCCAGATTTTAGACTATGCTTTGGAAGGCTTCCTAGTCCTAAGCGACCATGTGACAACTTACCAAATGCATAAATTTAATTGCCCTCGTTGAGAACTATAGTAAATGCATCACCACATGAGACCATAACTGCTTTATTTTGGTAGCCAAAGGCCGATACTTTATTAATAGGAGCGGATTATGACTTTACATCTTTATTATCTTTGAATTAATTTATGAAACTACTCTCTGTGAATGATTGTTAAGTGTTCGACATTGAAGGAGCACTGCTCTGAAAATCTGAAATTTCATAGCGAATTCCGAGTTATCCATCTAATTTAGATCCTGCTGTAAATAGATCACCACTGCGTGTAATAACAGCTGAATGAGTAACTCCAAGCGACAATGAACATGGCTCTAAACCTTCAGCCTTAATATGATCACCTTTATTTAAGAAATTTTGTTTTGCAGATTCTAGTATAGTTTGGGTTGGCAACAATTGATTTTCATTGTCATCAATCATTAATCTGCTATCGGGGTTACATCCCCACATATAGAGCTATGCTGATGAAGAATCAGTTATACAGCCTGAATGAGAATGCCCACATGCTATGAAAGAAACTCTCAACTAATTCTTCTTGAAGTAATCTAACTCTTTAGGCAGTAAGTAATCATTTGTATCTCCATGACCTAACTATCCATCTTCTCCATATCCCCAAGAAAAGACTCTACCTTATGAGCTAAGAGACATTGTATGTTGCCAGCCACAAGCTACCTGTATTATCTGAATTTTCACCAAAGTCTCAATTGGAGTTGGTAATGAATAATTTTCAGTATCTCCATGGCCTAACTAGCCAAATATTCCTCTTCCCCAAGATAAAATCATTCCGTCTGAAGTAACTCCTGCAGAATGATGATAACCACAAGATAATTATGAAAATTTGTACTAAGAATTAATTTGATTTGGTAGCTTCTCACTACTTTCCTTTCCATTTCCGCATCTTCCATCTTTTCCACTTCCCCAGACATAAATCTTACAATTTGAAATATTTTAAGAAGAAGGCTAACCAGACTAATAAGCTGAAATGCCTTGTGAATTCAATTTATTCCTAGGAAGGAGTTGTTCTTTAAAAGACTATGCTGATTTCAGGAAATCACTATTTTCTTTATTTAAAAGACCTTATGTTTGAGAATTGTTTCTAAATTTATTAGCATTTGAGAATTTAGGAGTTGGAGTCACCATTTAATGGTGATTGATAGATGCTCTTACTTCAGGAGGCTCTTCTTAGATGCTTTAAATACTCATTTAAAACTGATTCATGTCCCTTTCAGACATCATTTATTAACTTCCATAAGTATTTATGATTTTTTGTTAATTTTACTAGGATGTCTTTCTTGTTTGAAGGCTATTCATATTTGCATTTTGACTTTACTTAGAGTAATAGTTTTGCTGTATTTCCTAATCCATTTAATCATCATTTTACTATGAACTTTAGAATGACTCTTAGAGATCAAAATCAACCTCATTAAAAAGTTGATTAATCCTGTCTATTTACTCATCAAATCTTTCATCTATGTGTTTGGAAAAATCTTCAAAGCCTTCTCTCAATCTAGTTAATTTCATATTGTGATTATCAGCTATTTAGGCAAATGTATTTGCTTATTGCTAGAAATCTTCTTCAGTAATTTCATCATTTTAATGCTTTGAGTCCAGCTCTTCTCTCTTGATTGCTATCATCTGTCGAAAGTAAGTTTCAAGAATGATTTTCACCTCATCATATCTCTTCTGAACAACTTGTATCAATTCTGAGTAATACTCTTTTAAGTCATCAATGATTTTATTAAGATCATTAGCTGCTGGAACAATTAATCCCTATTCCAAGTCTTTATAATTATACCCTAGCAACTCAAGAGATTTAGCATAGACTTGTTCATATTCAATCATTATATCATCAAATACTATGCCTCTGTCAATATCATGCAACACTTTCTCAGCATTTGCAAATTATGAAGCTTTTTCTCTCTGCTCAATATCAACTATCTTCAATACAGTTTGAACCATACCTTCAGAAGCAAATTACTCATTATCCTCATTATAAATTTGCTCAATTATCTCTTTAAACTTTAATCTGTATTGATTTTGAATAGCTAATGCATCAAGCTTGAACTGTGACTTTAGTTTATCAACTTCAGAAATCCAGAACATATTACTTTACAAAATCAATTTTTCTTGAGGAAATTAACTAAAGTAGTCCTCAAAGTTTGGTGTATTGGCTTACTCTATAATATAACTTTCACACTGTTCCTAGATGCTTTCCACAAATCTACCGAGTGATTAATTATCATTTTAATTTATTGTCTCTATTGCAATTTTAAGATCATCATTTTAGGCCTAGAGATTTTCCTTGTCCTCTTATGCTTGTTTCAATTATTGCTTCAATTGTTCAATCATAAAGTTAAATTGTTCTTGTTGAGTTGAAGTTTATTGATTCCTTGATTTTATGTCGTTCATTTCTCGATTAAGCTAATCTTTTTATTCTTTCTCTTGATTTAAGTTTTGCTGTAATTTTAAGTGAAATTCTTAAAATTTTACTAACTCTGAGTCTTTCAATACGATTTATTCTTTAAGATGTTCTATTTCTTTTTTAAACATTTGAGTGGCAAGTTCTTATTCGTCAACTATTTCATTTACAGTGGGTTTATTTTTAACTGTTTTGGCTCTAGTTGCAAATCTAAGTGTAGAAAGTGATTGATAGTAGTTAATAGCAGCAGGGGATATAGTGCAAATAATTGCTGTGAGTGAATTACCACCTAGAGCCATTTATAAAATTCTAGTTAGCTTAGAATCTCTGTAAGGAATATGCCCACTTTTTCCCTCTGCTAGTTTATTAATGACATTAGATAACACAAACAATGATTTGTTAATGTATCCAGTTTCTCCAAGCGTATCAGATTTTTATTCGAAATCATTTAATCTCTCTGATCCAGCAAGATCAACTAAATTTAGCATAGAATATCTTTTAGGACCTGACTTATTTACCGGACAGCTTTCAATATAAATTCTAAAAATAGTATGAGATCTTGAGGAATGCTCGTGAATGCTAGTTTCTTTATAAATCCTATGTTCTTCACCGTAGTTCATAAGAATAATAGCTTAATCGAATGAAAACACCTGTTATTTCTTCAATAATGCAACATCAACTCCATGCTAATCAATTTGCTAAATTATAAGTATCTTACATTTGGATCGTCCTTGATCTTTAAGTTAGTTTTTCCTGGAGACAGTAGATCATTGATGCTTTCATTGTAGATTTCCATATATGAAACCCAAACATTGTAATTATTATTTTATGAATCCTAAATCAATAAAAAAGAAATAAACTTACATTTTTAACTCCATTAAATACATCTCTAACAGCACATGGAAGAATACCTGGAATCTCTTAGGTTCCAAGCATAGTATAAGTCTTACCCGAAGTTGTTTATCCATACATGAAGACTGTTCCATTGTAACCTTATAAAGCAGCCTTAGTGATTGGTCTAGCGATTACATGATATATTTGCGGGGTCTTAGTCTCAATGCCAAATACGTTGTCAAAGTGGAAATTTTAGGTCTACATAGCATCTTGATACCTTCTCCTAAGTTCTTTTTCTCTTATAAAGGCATTCATATTGATTTGCTATCCATTTCCAACTCCCATTGCTATTTGAACTGGGTCGAGTGTGCTTGCAAGATTTTGATTTAGGGAATATATTTTATTATCTTTATAGTCTACACCCCACACATCCTGATCTTCATAGGGTGCGAGTAAAGGTCTCATTCTTATGCAAACTTTAATCTACTCTGCATTTATTTTGTTAGTCTGAGCATAAGAGTTCGGAAAAGAATTCTTTTGATTGTTCATTTTAGTTTTTGCAATGTTTTAAGTGTATATTTCTTTTGAATTTGAATAAATTAACTGCTTTTATTATCTCTGAATATCAGCAAATGCAGCTTGACGGGGTTTTGGGGTTTTGGGGTTTTGGGG